CATCTTCCACACAGCCTGCACCTCCGACACACCGGAAAGTAACCTGGGCTCAGCTTATGTGACTCAGCTTATCAACAGCCTTCCCCAAGAAGTACAAAAATTATGGCAGGAAAATCAGAGACTTCGCCACTTCATGCTGGACCAAAAGAAAGGAAATTGATTCCCAACGCCAAGCCGCAGTTGGTCTCGAAATAAAAGGAAGAACCATTCTCCGACCCACCGTCCTAAACTGGTCACGGACAAAGACTCCGCCTACTCTCACATTATTTGGCTCCTGCGAGAGCAACGGGCTCAAGAATCTAATAAGCTGGAGCTTGCGATTTGGTCGAAGTATACGTTAAAAATAAAACACAAGCCCCCGATACCATGCAAACTTGGCCTCAAAAGATTGCCGCGTCCCTGTTTGTGCCCAGCTATGCGCTGGCGTCGGTGAAGACGACGACCGATCCCCACAAGATGCGCAGCACTGAAAACAGATGAAGAAACACTTCCTTTGGCCAAGTCCACCTTTGGTGTCTCTGAGAGAACAGTGACCTTCTGTTAGTTACAATAAAGCCCCGTACTTTGCAAACTGTGACAATATGTTCGATTAACTGTAGCGCAATGTCCTTGCTGATGACAATAAGCGCCGCAAACCAGGGCCTTCCTCATGAGCTCTTTCGCTGAGGGGGTGCACTGGAATTGCCGTAGTTTTAACCAAACGCGCTCTACCGTCCGTAATTATGTTCGAAGACATCGCCCCTTGTTCCTTCTTTTCCTGGAGACGCGCGGCACGTGCTGGCTTCCTAGTTACCGTGCTTTTCAGACACCAACCATCAAACATAAGCGGCTGCTTCCCAAAGGCCAGGCAGCGTTTCTGGTGCGTAATGACTACCCTGCCAATCAATTGAACATTCCTGATCTCAGTTCCTATGCTCGCGAAATAGCAGCTGTCAAAATTTGTCCTCCTTGCCAAAAGCCCTTCGTGGCTGTGTCTGTGTATTTTCGCCCAGGAAATATTTCAGTTGGATTATACATATGACGGAAGACGCGTAAGCAATCATTTAAGAACCTCTCTCTGTTTATTGGAGGTAATTTAATGCTCATAACCCTGCCTGGAGTTTCCCAAAGCCGAATAAACGCGGAAAATATCTTTACGATGCTATTGAACTCCGTTCTGTAGAAATTTGTAACGCCCCCAACACCCCTACAAAGATAGGACTACATAGAGATCAGAGAGACATGACCCCAGATTTTACCCTCACCAGCCCCCAATTCGTACGGCACTGGACATTCTCCAGCCAGTCATTGGGCAGTGATCATGTCCTGATATTTGTGGCACTTCATCGAAAACGCCTCTGGATAGAAACAACAACAATGATCACGAATCGGAATACTCTTCGTAGTAAAGTTACTAGATTCTTCTCGACAGTTGAGGGCTTTCTGGACATTGTTCAACAAGTCCGTGAGCTGGCACGCGAAAAAGTGCCATGCGACGACCATACTCAACCGATGGATAACCATTTAGGTTATTTATGGAAAACAGCATACTCTTTAGTCAGAAGATACCGCTCGCACGGCAAACGGCACTCCGACCTCATGAAAATTAGGCGTCAATTTAAGCTTATCAATGAATACCAGCTCCAACTTCAAAGTGAAGCCTAGCGATTCACCTGCGACCGCCTTGGCCGTGTACTGGGCCTACAAGGTCTATGTCGCATTTTTCGTAGCCTCAGGGAGAAATGAGAGGGCAACCCTCCTCTGGCCGAGCTGTTCCTCAAAGCAGATCCGTAAGTTTTAGGAGACGAAGTTATTACCACTTTCTTTCCTCACGCTTCCCTCACTCCGCCTGCATCTTCGAAAGCCTGCCCTATAACGCGACCTGATCCGAACCTCGATCGCCCATTTAGCATGGGAGAAATGCTAGCGGCCATCAAACACGGGCGTCCTCGATCGGTGCCTGGCCATGACCGAATCACACGGCAAGAGCTCCACAACCCCTGGGATGAAGCCCAGGACGCACTTTTGGCGGTAATCAATGACCTCTGGGCCTCAGGAAATGTTTCGAAGAACCTTAAGCTGTCTATCATTTATCCTTCTCTGAAACATGGAAAAGAGAAGACCCTCTGCAAGAACCTCCGGCCAATATCTTTAACGTCAACTCTCTGCAAGCTTATCGAACGCATGATTCACACATGGATGCCCCATTACCTAGAGATAACCCGGCCGGGATACCTTCCAGCCCTGGCGGGTTTTTGCCCTAACCTGGACACCCATGACTGCCTTTGGCTGCTACGGCGCGTTATCAATCGTACCTCATGAAAGCTGTTACCTGACTACTTGCTTGCCGTCGACATGCAGGAAGCGTTCGACAATGTTCACCATAACGCCGTTCTTAAAGAACTAGCTAAGCGCTACCCAAGTCAGCGTGCGCAGACATAGTTTCAAAACTGCCTTGCAGCTCGGCCCATTCGCTTAAGCGGTGCATCGCCTGGATGGAGTCCGAAGACTTACTACTTGGACAGAGGTGTTCCGCAGAGATCTACTTTAGGACCGACGCTGTTTCATCTGGCCTTGAGCAGGGTAACAGAAAAAATTGAACCGGACACCATGGCTAGATTCGCCATCTACGCCGATGATATTACTATATGGTCAGAGACAGTGAATTATGCTGGCAAAGAATCAATGCAGACCGAGCTGCAGGCAGCTCTTCTTAATTTAGAGTTCACTCTCAAGAAAGTGGGCCTGCAGGTGGCTCCACATAAGACAGAACTTAAAGCATAGACGACAAGAATCACCCCAACCCGAAAATGTGCATCTCACTCCATACTGGATCACACACTATACAATAAAAAAACGGAGATATCAAAGTTTTGGGTTTACCAAAAGCCAGCTACAACATCCCACATAAGTGGGTACGTGGAGTGCGGCAGGCATTGCCAGCCACGTTACATATGATACGTCGTCTGTCCAACGAATACAGAGGTGCACGACAACAAGCCTGTCGCACTCTCGCAGGAGCTGCGGCCGTTGGAAAGATTCTGTACGGCGCACCCATACACAAGTTCTCTCCGACGGACATCCAAAATTTGGAACGCCTTCCTCGGGCATTCCTCCGTAATATCATGGGGTTCCCTAAACACACTAAGATATCCGCCCTTGAAAGCGCAAGGGGCTTGCCCCCTCTTGAAGACGTAATCCGTGAAGCCCACACTCAACACCACATCCACTTGGAAAACACGCCGCAAGGTCGTCGCCTTCTGACCTGGGATTGTCAGCGACATCATGATGCATCTCTTTTTAATTAGGCCTTACCCCCATGGGAAACTCCAATAGCCTCTCGACTGTTCCGTCGTCCCATATCTCATCTCAATGATACTTCCCGCCAGTTTTTTGCCACGTGACAACTCAGGGAAGCGATCTTAGATACCATCGACATATACACGGACGCTGCTCTCTCCGATGGCGAAGTTTGTATAGCATGGATCAGCGCACAGGCCACCGAGTACACTGGGACCTACAGGTGCCATACCAAACGGTTCCCCTATGCATGCCGAACCACTTACCATATAGGGAGCGACTGCAAGCCTCCCATACACTATACAGAAACCCCTTCGTGTCTTTACCGACTCGCACGCTGCCTACTCGGAAATATTTCGCTCAGCGTCGGAGGATGCTACAGCTGCTGCTATTCAAAGTATCATTCGTAGGCATGAAAACCCCGACAGGCCGATAGAAATTATCTGGACGCCGGGGCATACGGGTGTGCCCGGGGGCAATATGGCGGCACACGCCGCTGCTGCTTCCGCAGGTGGGTTGACCAATCTTTCTCTGCCCCCACCCTCAGGGTAAACGTGTATGAGCTCTTTCGTCAAATGTCTCCCTCGGTAGCCACAATACACTACGTACGCACGTCTCTGCGTCATGCTTAAAAAAAAACAGATTGCGCAGGTAACCCCACCAGTACTATTTTCCAGCAAATGTCCGCGTTCACGCTCTCAAGAAGTCTTCAATAATAAGGTTCACGCAAATTCTGCATACACACCATACTCCTTAGCAAAATGGCGACAACCGGACATTGCGACAGTGATGTGCAATCGATCCGCAATTGAAAAAGGGCGAATGGGCATACAAGCTTTGTAATCCACAAATTATCGTGAAGCGCTCCTTAAGAACCTGGACACGCAGCTATTATTTGCCCAATATGGAAGCCAGAGCGGCCTGATCAGAGTGGTTTAGGGGGTTCGAAAAACCACAGTACTGATACTATACCACCTCAGTACTAGTGATGGTGAATACAATAGGTGTAAAACCCGTGACACCATGAACTCAAAGTGTAGTTAGAAAGTGCTGTTTATCCCCACAGAGATCCTGTGCCTCCCTGTTTATTTTTCTCTTTCAAGATAGGACTTTCCATCCATCCAAGCAATATCAGGAAGGACGTGGTGTTTATTCTCGTATGGATTCACCTCTTCCAACCGGCCCATTGTCGGAAGGAGGGTGAGTTTGAATATATTACTCGATATACAAAATACTACAAGGACCCTAGAAAACAGCCGTGCCGTCTCCACGAAAGTATTTCAGAAAAACACAATACATTACTCTGTGACGACAGTTAGTCGCTAAGGCACATGCAAAGGAACACTTAAACTCGCTCGTTCACAGCAAACGTTTATTTCTGGTTTTACATTCGCTAGACAGTAAAAACACAAGTAATATCAATGAAACTGTTCAGATTAACAGAAGAAAGGTCATCATGTTTCGTCGCGTTATCTAGTGTTTCGTTTCTTTATTTTTTAAATTGCACGTCACTGTTCAGTTCTGACAGCAGCTTTTACTTTCGTTTTTGGTTCATCACTATTAAGGCACTCAGCAAACAATCATTTGTCAAAAAAAACTTTCTTTCGTTAACGCTAGGTTAAAGATGCGATGGCAGTTGCACTCTATTGTTTCACTTTTCCCCTGTATTGCCAGTATTGATTATTGGCCAACTAAACTCCGCCCAGTGACCTGCATTGTGGTCACAGATTGACAGTTTTCAAGACCAGGACTTCGTATTCAGCGTAGGAATGCTCTTGGCGATCGTGAGGCACCCATGCGCATCCGTGCGATCGCTGAACCTTGCCTAGAATGAGCATGCCATTGTGACGTGCCCTACCTACGTAGAGTGCCTCGCCATTGTCTGTAAGGCCACCCTGTATGGCTCCACTAGGCACTGCGCCTCTGGATGCCGGCAGCCATGCCAAAGGAGCTCCGTTGGACACAAGCACCTGCAACGAATCAATTCAAGCCTTTAAGGGACACTATAGAGCAAAGCGATTTTTCGCGTTATAATAAAGCACAATTTCACGATCCCGAAAACAGCCCTTTTACCGCGACACGACGCTTGGTGAAGGAAATGCGGGTAGAGAAGTCACTGCGAGATTCCAGCACCAAATACCATGACAATAGCAACATTCAAAGACGTCTACTGGGTACAACATAGCTTCTACTTGAAATCTTGCTCAGCCGTTGGTACTTCTCCCTTCTGCACTCGGTACCTATCGGAAGTTTGCCAGAAGGTATACCACGTTCTCGAGCGAACCTCTCCCGTCCACTATCATCAAACGCTTCACGTCCACTGGGGACCTGCGTCGCCGAGGCCGCGAAATTGTTAACGCGAACCCAATGTCCTCACGACACTTTAGAACACCTATAGTTGGCTCCATCGTCATCGAGGCAGAAAGATGTAAGGAAGAATAGAATAACAGATAGCTGATCCAGTTGGTACGTACTTACTCGGGAGAGACAGGGCCTGAAAACACCGACACAAGAAGGAAGTCTGGACACCACGAGCGCCTACTAACAACTGAAGGTTGTTAAGTTTGGCCTGGAAATTCATCTGGGCAGACGCCATGGTGCTAAGCCGGTCCACTGGAGAGGCTCTCAATCCCTTCGGCACCCAGTCTGCCAGACGCTGTCGAAGATTTGAGTAATTACCCAGACCATGTGTGATGGTTAAGGGACGTTCGTCACTATGTTTGTTAATAGCGGACGAGAAATGATTGACATCAACATGTGATGCGACCAAAAGAAGCTTTATATTGCACACTAGAGAAGGCAGTGACACTTTCTTGTTGATGAGCTGCGCGAACCAATGGCTCTGCGCCTCCTGCGCGGGGAACACGCCCACAAGCAGCTGCAGCAGCCCGATGAAGGCCAGCGTCGGGTGCGGCAGGTGCGGCGGAAACGCATACTTGTACAGGCACACCTTGTTATTCTCGGTTTTGTGCACTTCCTGGTCCAGGAATGGGAACGTCGCAGTTTGGGTCCCCGTCGTCCCGACATGATGCGGTCGTCGACGTGCGCGAGGGCACAGGTGGCACGGCTGGAACGGCTGACGGCACACGGTGCGCTACCGTGTGCAGCGCCGTTTAGTCGGACGTCGCGGCCAACCCAGCAGTCAGGGTCGCAACTCCTGAGGTCCAGGGTCAGGCCACGGCTCACGAGGACCACGCCCGGTAGGCCTCGCCCACGAACCTGCTCCCGGCCACTGCACCCAGGCAGGAGCCGTTCAGCAGGCCCCGTCCTTGGACCTTGTACAGGCCGACGGACTCGACCTCGAACAGACACACCGGAGCTCGACCTGGCTGACACGTACGGGTCCCACGTCCGGCTCAGGAACGCTGCCAGAAACTCGTCCTCTCGAGCGGCGCACCGCTTCCTCTGTCTTCGTGGCCTCAACCCTCGAGCTCTCTTTTCCGCACGTTCCTTCTTCTTGGTCAGGGCACTGCCAGGTACCCTCGGGTGCACACTGCAGCTCATGAGCTCATGGCCCACGTCCGAGTCTGGCGCATCACTCGGCACCGCTCGGTGATCCTAGATTCAGCCAGCAAATTCCCTGGCACCTGGATCCTCGGCCACCCTGAATCATCGCCCGGTTCCGTGCTCCTCTGTGCGCACTCCCACGTCTCGCCCGGCAGAACGTCTCGCTCGTCCCTTGCCGATGTGCGACGCTCTGGTGACACCGGCGCTTGATGGCATGGGTGCGGCCACGGAGCAGTCAACCCGCATCGGAGATGCGATGCTCCATGCGGGGCATGGCGAGCCCGTCCAGCGAAGAGCGTGCGCCGAGACGCGATGCTCGACGCAACCGTGACCATTAGCCAGGCCACGTTCGTCGCTGTGTCGAACGGCTGACCATGGAGACGCCTCGCCGAGATCCGCGATGCCCTCGGCAAGGAAGAGAACAGCAGGCTAGGCCGCGCCCCGAGATGCAGTACTCGTGCCGGCAATGCCGCCCCAGCTGGTGGTTGGACGGCAGCAGCGTGGACGGCCGCGTTCCCTGGCCGGAACCTGGCTCGCCTGCGTCCGACGCTTCGGCCCACTGTCTCCCGTCTGCCGCTGCTCCGGCTCGTCTACAGCCACACAGCCTACTGCCACGTAATGGTCGCACGTGGCCCAATCGTGGCACGCCACCTCTATGGGCCACCACTGGTCATCAGCTGATTGGAGCACAGTTGCCTCGTAATCGAACGTGCCTTGTCCCGCACATTTCTTCTTCTCTTCTTCTTCATTTTTTGTTGTCGCCTTCGTGCCACCTGCCGTCCGCTCGTCTTCTTCAGTTCTGGTTTGACGTTCCTCGGCGTCTTTAAGTCCTTTCCTTACACCATGTGACAAGCGAAGGCGAGTTCCTGACTTTCAACTGCGGACCCTTTTGTCGTCTCTTCGAGCAGAAGCGGTGCCTGATGACCTCGGTGATTCATGTGACGACGGGGAAGCTGTTGTGACCGGCGCCAGAGCTGACAGGAGAGTGGCGCTCCTTTTGATCCCCAATCAAGTAGACGACCGGCCGGCTGCCTATCTGCCTATGCTCGTCAGGCATTGTCCGTGATGGCCGGAGGATGAGACGTCGTGTCGCCAAGACGCCGTTAACCGTTCGAGAGAGGCCAACAAAGACAGCATCTTCCTGGAAGAGACCGCGGCGGCCACTGCAAATCACCCCGATAATTAAGCGAACAAAATCGGCGGACCTTTTGAGGTATGCTGTCAGGACCGTGTGACCTCTCGACTAGCGGCACACACACGACGAGGAAGAGCCCGGCTGGCGCCACCTTGCAGTGCCGTGTTCACGACTCAATATTGGACGTTCACGTGGACCGTGCATGCTCGTCCCCCTCACCTGTTGTGTGTGTGCGATTGGTGTTCCACTCGGAGAGGAGGAGCCCGACAGGGCTTAAAACGACGCCGCAGAGTGCTGTAACTATGTAACGGTTCAACCACCACGCTCGTGGTTTGTGAAACCAATAACCCTTCTTTACTGTAAATGTATAGATAGTGCCATAAACCTGTTTTGTTCTTGTATCTTCTTGCGACCTTAACAACTGGTGGCAGCGGTGGGATGCCATCAGCAACTTCCTCTTTCAGACCTTAACAAGGTGCGCACAACCGCGGTAAAGAAAGAAGGCCTGAAAACTTATCTGCGCATGCAAAATGCGAGCCTATGAATCGGGCGCACGTGGAGGTCTAGGTTAAAGATGATCACAACCCTGGAGATTTTCAACACAGCTTCCAGCTGGTTAGTAATTTTTGTTTACGCGGCCTCACAAGTGTGAGGTGCACGAAGAGGGTTGTGCTCTCTCATAGTAAAGTACCATGTACTCAAAATCGTTCTCCACTTTTGCTAAAAATCACGTTGAAGATGACTGTTATGCAGCGGCGTACCAACTCTTTCGCGAGGCGGGTGGCAGACCTACCTCACTCGCCAGCCGATATATATATATATATATATATATATATATATATATATATATATATATATATATATATATATATATATATATATATATATATATATATATATATATATATCGGCTGGCGAGTGAGGTAGGTGTATATATATATATATATATATATATATATATATATATATCGGCTGGCGAGTGAGGTAGGTGTGCCACCCGCCTCGCGAAAGAGTTGGTACGCCGCTGCATAACAGTTATCTTTAACGTGATGTTTAGCAAAAGTGGAGAACGATTTTGAGTACTTGGTATATATTATATATATATATATATATATATATATATATATATATATATATATTATATATATATATATATATATATATATATATATATATATATATATTTGTATAAGAGGGACAATTAATCAGCTGCCCGCTCATAATAAGTTCACGTGCTACGTGACGCCAAAACTTGCGAATAAGAGTGTTTTCACACTCGTTGTTTGGCTTATAAATGGCGCTGACTGTCACTCCTACTTCTAAATTCACATATAAACCCCAAAAAGTGGATGGAGGGAAGGCCGCTGTGATAGCTCACTGGTTAGAGGATCGAACGCGTTATTCGAAGGTCGTAGGTTCAATTCCTGCTCACGGCTGGTTATTTTTTCATCCACTTTTCTTTCTTCTTTCTTCTTATTAACATTCCATTGGTTCTAATAACTTCCCCTGTACATTCCTTGGCATTACTGTCTGTTAGATCTCATTAATATTGTGTTAAAACACGGAAAAACGAGCCCTTAGGTATACACTTCTTTCCCTTATTTCATTGAACGAGGGTCTCGTACTGGCAGACTTGGTGTGTTTAGGTTGTATAATTAAGAGGGACAATTAATCAGCTGCCCGCTCATAATAAGTTCACGTGCTACGTGACGCCAAAACTTGCGAATAAGAGTGTTTTCACACTCGTTGTTTGGCTTATAAATGGCGCTGACCGTCACTCCTACTTCTAAATTCACATATAAACCCCAAAAAGTGGATGGAGGGAAGGCCGCTGCGATAGCTCAGTGGTTAGAGCATCGAACGCGTTATTCGAAGGTCGTAGGTTCGATTCCTGCTCACGGCTGGTTATTTTTTCATCCACTTTTCTTTCTTCTTTCTTCTTATTTACATTCCATTGGTTCTAATAACTTCCCCTGTACATTCCTTGGCATTACTGTCTGTTAGATCTCATTAATATTGTGTTAAAACACGGAAAAACGAGCCCTTAGGTATACACTTCTTTCCCTTATTTTATATATATATATATATATATATATATATATATATATATATATATATATATATATATATATATATATATATATAGAGAGAGAGAGAGAGAGAGGAGAGAGAGAGAGAGAGAGATACACGATGGCAAGATGAGCGTCGCACATTGGAGACGGAATCTGGGCTAAGGGTGCCATTCCTCGTTCTAAGAAAGCGCGTCGTGTCACCTCTGTGTTATGCAATTTCATATCGAAGTGCGAGCGCTTTCTTGGATAGCACAAG